TGTTTCAGACTGAACTGTAATACAGCCAAGTTCAGGTTGATCGGGTGATCGTAATAATATGCGTTTTTTTGTTTTTTTTAATCTCCATGTGGTAGAATCTTGGGTGAAACAACTCAGGCGAGCGAGAAATGTTTTTATTTTGAGTCCTGTTACTGGCATCAGAAAATGGTAGAAAGACAGAAGAAGAGGCTGTGTTATTTATTTATATATTTAATTGTTGGGGGAGGGTGCTAATAAGAAGCCTAATTTTCCATAATGGACAAGATAATGTAGATCTCCTGTCCAATCAAGCGGTAGCAAAAAAAGATCATAGATGGTTAGGGAACAGCCACTAAATGTTGATTTTATTTACAGATCAAGTGAAGTGACCAATAGAGGGGAAAGAACAAGGCGCAATCAAACAACTATACTTCCAAGCAGTATACTTCTAGGCACTTTTGACTTAATCTACTGAGGGAGACAGATCAGCAGTGATACAGTGTGTGTACCCGTGCTGTGCCAGTGTTAGAGTGGCATGTGGCCTGTGCCATTAATTCTAGTGTGAGACGAGCTTTATCTTTATGTTGTATCTAACAGTTAGTGCTGCCAGGAGCACTAGAGAAAACATTGAGTGGGAGATAGGGGAATGTCACTTGGGTTGGCAAGTATCTTGTCATTCATTCTAGAGTGAGACTATTGTACTAATATGCAGTTAATCAAAGTTATTTATTTATTAGAGGGAAAAAAAATCTTCTTTTGGACAATGTGAGACTAGCTTATCAGTATGCAGCTGTTAAAATGTATTTATTTATTCTCTTTTGTGAACTGTTTGGAAGAAAGAACATGCCATTTTATATTTTTATTTTCTGAGTGATTCTCTAAGTCTGATTCTTAGATCAGGAGGCAATTTGATGTTTCTCAGTCTTTTCATGCTGTAATAACTTCTGCTGCCCCTTCCACTGGCATTGCAGAGCCCTCTTTTATGATGCTTAGAGCAAGGGAACGGTGAAACCAGTGGACTTGTTGCCCTTGCTTAATTTTGCACCATCAACTACTACCATTGGTACCTCCTCCTCTGCTACCACACTTAGGCGGAGCAGGGGGTATGCTGAGCCTAGTGCCACTAGATGACAGGGACAGATAGGCTAACAACCCATATTATCCCAGGGATGTGTCCACCAGCCCACCCTTGAACATTTTGTTGGAAGCTACAGGGTGGCAAAATTGCCCAGCAGCTATTGTCATGTCCATCGACCATTGTCCAGTGAACTAGTGTTTTCTGTCACAAGGAACATTCTGAATCCTTAAATGCTACAACGGTCCCCACAACTGATGGAGATAATAGACTTAATCAAATTTAATCTCCCCAAGTTGGGTTACCCTGTTCTTCATTTTATTACATGGGACATCATAATCTGCTAGATCCCACCTTTCCATCAAATGTATTTGTAACTTTATAAAAGTATAGTAAAGTATAGTACAGTAAAGAAAATGTAAAATGCTGCTGTCCTGCCTTCATCAAATGCCTCTCATTATTGTGGTTTTGCTCTGCCTTTTCTTATTCTTGCAGTGTCTGCTCCCTCCGTAGACACAGTTGGGAGAAGCTGGGCACTGTGTGTTATCCACAATGAAGGAAGGTCACTGATGCTACAGACTAGATGAGTGGAAAAGCTTTGTTCTAGTCAGGGTGGAAGGGGTGAGCAAGTGGTCACTTGCCCACTGACATTTTCCTTTCATTTTTAGGTAAAATTCTTATTTTGAACTTGAAATTACTCTTGCTCCCCAGTTTACAGGAATACAAGATAACAAAAGGGCAAAATAGTTCAATCAATCATTCTAAATTTTCTCTCACTTCGTATTTTCTTTTTTTAAATCCAGTTATATATAAAAATAATCTAATTCTGCAACCAGAAATGCCATAGCAAAAAAAAAAAAAAAAATGGCTGATATTGTGTAGCTATTAGGCCAGGCACTATTGTAGCTGTTTTTACATGTCAGCAAAGTCGTAGTTTCCTTTTTTGCGGCTGTACTGGCCTTTCCAAATAGCTTTTCGATATTGAAATGAGGCCGAATCAAAAAGCTGACTAAGCTATATTCTTTCAAACCAAAATTTGAGTGAGTATCATTTGCTATGGGCTATAAACCTTTGTCAGGTTCACTTTAATAAACTAGTCTTGTTCAAACCAGATTATTCTATTATGTCATAAATGACATTTAATGACTTGGTGTTATGATTTATAATTAGTCAATATGCCTTTTTATAGTTGTTTGCCCATACACTTAATAGCATTTACTAATGGGATTGTGAAAGATTAATGTCAAGCTAAGAAGATCTGCATGCTTATCAAATCTGTTACCATTTTTATTAAGACAAATAAACCACATTTTCTTTTCTTATTAAATCTCCTCAGTATTATTCACTGAATTAAAAGAAGATAAAGAAATTGTAGGCTACAAGCACATTATCGGAGAAAAGTGTTGAAATTTAGTTTTGCTTCGACCTCTAAAAAGTAATTTCATGACCTCTTTCACTTCTTTATAATTAGACCCCTTTGAGTCATAACCTCCAGTAATATATGCTTATAGGGCATACAGCTTATGTTGAAAATCCGTGTGTTAAAGATAATGGGATTTTTTAATTACGTCATGGACAAACACAAACAATTTGAGCATTAATCTTATGATTGACAGAAGCCTTATTAGCACAAGGAATATGCTTGGTTGTTCAATATTTTAAATCCCTCTCCCCTGAAGTATTTGAAATCTCATCCGATAATTAGATCTATCGTTATGTTTTTTTAAAATTTTGTTTGTTTTCGTTTTATTCCAGGAATTTGCGGAGCTTGGAAACCTTTTGAGTTTAGTTAAGTATTTATTTGCTCTACAAACAGGTACACACATACTGTGAAACAAATGCGTCTTTTAGTTTGGCTCCATGTTCTTTCTCTTACATATAAATTTGGAATCAGGCATTAAAAGAATATGGCTATTAATTAATTAATTAATTGCAATATATGGCTATTAATTTTCACGACAAAAAAAAAGATAGATGTTCAGTTGCTTTGGAATAGGGTTGAGCGAACCCGAACTGGGACATATCACTGTATGTTCGGGTTGTAGTTCGGTGTTCGGCAATTTAATGGCGCGTTTTCAAAGGCTGCAAGGCAGCCAATCAACAAGCGTTTGACTCGTGTGCCCTTAGAAGCCATCACAGCCATGCCTACTAATTGGCCAGTGCAGCATGTGACCCAGCCTCTATATATAAGCTGGAGTCGCGTAGCGCCGCACGCACATGCAGTCTTATTAGTGTAGGGAGAGGATGCTGCCGCTGATAGGGACAGCTTAGGAAAGAATTCTAGTACATTAGTGGGGTGGGGTGCACTTCATATCTGAGAGTCAAATAAAAGCTTCAAATACCGCGGTTTCATCAGCGTTTTAAAAAGTAAATTTTTTTGTTGATAAATAGTACATTAGTGGGGTAGTATATTAGTGGGGTGCACTTCATATCTGAGAGTCAAATAGAATCGTCAAATACTGCTGTCACATTGCAGTTTTAAAACTTACAATTTTATGGGTGCTAAAAAGTACATTAGTGGGGTGTACTTCATTTCTGAGAGTCAAATAGAAGCGTCAAATACTGCTGTCACATTGCAGTTTTAAAACTTAAATTTTTTGGGGTCCTAAACTGCTAAATAGTATTTTAGTGGGGTGCACTTCATATCTGAGAGTCAAATAGAAGCGTCTAATAGTGCGTTTACAGGGCAGTGGTAAACATTCTTTTTTTCTGGGTGCTAATCTGCTAAATAGTACATTTTGGGGCCTGCTCTTCATATTTGCAAGTCATGCTACAACAAAATTAAACAAGTTTTAAAATATGTACGGCCAACCAGAGGCTGTAAACAACAAAGTTTTACTGGTTACATTCATGACTACACACTCTAGTGAACAGGACCTTCATGTAGTGTGTTCTTTTTTTTTTTTAAATCATACAGCATCCTTTCATGTGCTTTTCAGATGTGAACTACCAATTTTTGTGTAGCCTGATTTTTTTTTTTTTTAAAGTGAAAAATAAGTGTTATTGTGATTGCTTCATATACAGAAGCATTAATATACATTTCTATATTGTGTAAAAACACAACTACAAAGTTAAAAACCAAACACCAAAACAACGTGCCAGACAATCTACCTGTGCATGGCTAGTGTGATACAATAAGTCTACATTTTAAAAATGCAATAACCCACAGAAGATGGGCAAGACTTTTTTTTGCAAATGGAACTTTGATTCGAATTTACTACATCGGTCACTTGTAATATTGTTTCACACCTACAACACTTGTTACACAGATCTAAGTGATAGAAAACAGATTCATATTTTCTACAATAGAAACTACCAGATAACAAGCTGCTATAATTATATATATAATTCTGGGGCAATACCCTCACAAGTCAAACTGAGAGGTCAGTTTATAGGGAAAACTGTTGCCTGGAGGAAATTCTAAAACAATTTCCATATGTCCTTTGCAGACTTTACATGCTGTAAAAACACAGGTGCCAACTGCTGTGGCTTTCTGCAGTGTGCATACTGGCAAGGAGGGCAGGTTTGAGGAGTGGGTGGAAGATGATGTGGAGGATGATGAGGTCCTAGACCCCACATGGAATCAAGGTCATGCGAGTAACGTGTGCAGTTTGGAGGAAGAGGCGCTGGTCACACAGGGGCACCAGCACAGCATAAAAGGGAGCAGGGTGCAAAAGCGGACTGGACATCCCCTAGCGCTCGTCGGCATGTATTAGCTCGAGAATTACCAGTTATCCAAGTAATACATGTAGCGATCAAAGGATCCATAATAGACTTGAGCGAACCCGAACGGCAAAGTTCGGGTTCGTACCAGATTTAACGATTTGTAGTTTCACAGTGAGGTGGGCAGTCCGGTGACCAGGACCCAGACACTGTCTGCGCTGCAGCGTAACTTTGGCCTTCCCGCTCAACGCCTCATGAGACTGTGCAAGCAGCAGCAGGCGATAGTGGAGTTTCAGCTGCAGCACCCATGGTTCAGTGGCTCTGCACCAGACTTCCCTCCAGTTGATCAGAGTTAAAGGATTTCAAGTGGACTCATTACAATTACTATGCCTCTAAAGAGTCCTGTATTGTTAATTGTCGTCACTACCTTCCCGCGTTGGGAGTGTCATTTGCGCGCCTGCTGCCTTCCTTGCATGTGGTAGCCGTTTCTCAGGGTCCCTGTACGGAATGGAACCCTGATTTATTGTTACCCGTGGTCACCATAGTAGGTGCAGAAACTGGCATTGAAAGTTGATATGGATGACATCCACATGCAAAGTCGCCGTCACGGGGATGTGCGATTTGCCCGAGGTTCTCTAGAGTCAACAAAGTTCCTGCGCAACTATGGGGTTGCCATAGGCGTGCGCAGCCTAATGTATAAGGGTGTGCACACTAAAGCACAAACACACACGCCGTGTATATATATATATATATATATATATATATATATATATATGTATATATATTTATATATATAAATATATACACATACATACACACATACACACATACTGCTGTGTGTGTAGGTGCTGTGTGTGAAGGCACTGTGTGTGTAGGTGATGTGTGTGAAGGCGCTGTGTGTGTGTGCGGGCGCTCTGTGTGACGGTGCTGTGTGTGTGTGGGCGCTCTGTGTGTGTGAAGGCGCTATGTGTGTGTGAAGGTGCTGTGTGTGTGTGTGAGAGCGCTGTGTGTGTAAGGGCGCTGTGCGTGTGAGGGCGCTGTGTGTGTAAAGGTGCTGTTAGTGTGTGCTGTGTGTGTGTATGTGTGAGGGTGCTGTGTGTGTAAGGGTGTTGTTAGTGTGAGGGTGCTGTTAGTATATGTGTGTGTGTGTGTGCTGTGTGTGTATGGGTGATGTATGTGTGTGCGTGCTGTTTGTGTGTAATGTGTGGGGTGTGAGGGCCATTTAGTTAATATCCCCCCTCCCTTCTTACCTTATGTAGGGAGGGGGGACCGTGCTGCTGCCATCCCTGGTGGTCCAGTGAAGAGTGAACTCTAGCCCCATAGGGGGCTAGAGTTCACTCTCGCAAGATCTGAGCATTGCTGCAGTAACCGCGGCAACGCTCCGATCTCGCGAGAGGAACCCGGCGGAGCTGCTGGCAAGAGCTCCCCGGGTCCACTCCTGCCTCCCTCCATGCCTGTGGTTAGGTGAGGAAGATCTTTGATCTCCCTCACCGGCACACGGAGGGAGGCACATAGCCCGTGCTGCGGGGATTAGGGTGTGCCCAGGCACACCCGGCACACCCCGTGCCCATGACTATGGGGGTTGCTCTGGCAGATCAGCTGCTGCAACCCTACCTAATTATACGGAAGACAAGGGCATGGTACAAAAAAGGTTGCTATCTACTTAATGCAGATTGCAACCCACAACGCTTTTTTATTGTGCAAAAAAGCAAACCCCGGAATGCAACTGACTTTTTTACAGTTTCAGCTCCAGATCATTTCGGGGATTTTGTACCGTGGTGCACCTGCTCCCCGGGCGGTGATGGGAGAGAGCAGATTTGGGGCTACACATTTTATTTTTAAAATCCCCCCTGCTGCGGCAAAGCAGAATCCCCCAAAAAGATGTAGAGTCTGTTTTAAGAGGTGGCAGATAAAAGATAGCATATATTACTGTCCTGATTGCCCTGGACAGCCTGGACTCTGCATTGCGAACTGCTTCAAACGATACCGGTCACTGGTCCATTTTGAATTTTTTTTTACATTTACCGTTCATTTATTTTGTTTATTTTTGGTAACGTTTACCCTATGTATGGGTAACCAACAACAGGCTCTCCTAAACCACAGTCAAAAAGCAATGTGTGTGTAAAAATGAAAAATTACCACCACACACTGTTTCCAATTTTTTGGGCTAGACCGGTTGCATCAAATCATTCCATATACATTACCTCGGGGTGTCTACGTTTCAAATATATACACTTTCATGGCAATAAATAAAACGGGGCTAGTGATAAGCCCCAAACTAAAAATAGGCTTATCAGAAGAAATACTCTCAATTTCAACTCAAATTACAAGTCATACAATTGTAACTGAACCTTCCAAAAATCCTGGCAAATTTATGTATGGGGGGCATGGGTGTACTCAGGAGGCGTTGCAGAAAACAACCTGGAGTGTTTTTTTTGCTATAACCAACAACGTTGGTTGGTTACGTTTACCCTATGTATGGGTAACCAACAACCATCTCTCCTAAACCACATTAAAAAAGCAATGTGTGTGTAAAAATGAAAATTGAAACATTACCACCACACACTTTCTCTGAATTTTTTGGCTAAAATGGTTGCATCAAAGGCATCAAAGCACTCCATACAATTACATACAATTCCTTCGGGGTGTCTACTTATTAAATATATACACTTTCATGGCAATAAATAAAACTAGGGTACGTGATAAGGCCCAAACTAAAGATAGGCCTATCGGAAGAAATACTCACAATTTCAACTCAAATTACAAGTCATACAATTGTAACTGGACCTTCCCGAAATCCTGGCAAACCTATGCATGGGGAGGGTTTGGGGGTTGGGGAGGGGAGCATGGGAGTACTCAGGATGCCTTGCAGAAAACAACCTGGAGTTTTTTCTTGCAATAACCAACAACAGGCTCTCCTAAATCACACACAAATGTGTGTGTAAAAATGAAAATTGAAAAATTACCACCACACATTTTCTCCAATTTTTTTACTAAAACAATTGCATCAAAGGCATCAAAACACTCCATATACAATACCGTGGGGTGTCAGCTTTTCAAATAAATGCACACTCATGGCAAGAAAATAAATTGGGATAACTAAAAAGGCCCCCAAAAAGAAGATAGGCAAAGAAGATATGTCAAATTTGAAAAACACATGTCAGAGGTTTGGCATTGCACCCCCCAAACAAACCTATGCATAGGTGGTATCACTCTTCTCAGGAGATGTTGATGAACACATATTGGGGTGATCTTTGGTAGTAACACCTAACAGGAGCTGAGAATCCATGCCTAAAATAGAATGTGTATGAAAAATAACACAAAAAATGAATACCCAAACATTTCACAAAGACTGGTGGTAGAATTAGTGCATGGACAGTGTTAAAATACCACCATTTGAAATAACCTAGGTTATCTACATTTCAAAAATATATGGTTTGATGGGGTAAATTACATTGGCTGGCTTCAAAAATGTCCCAAATGGTACATAGGTGCATGATGACCAGCTATGAAAATTCCCAGTTCGAAAAATGGAATGCGCACCCTCCAAATAAGGTCTTTTAGCCCCCGGAGAACCCAACACACCTGTACATGGGTGGTATTACTGTACTCAGAAGATATTTCTGAACACATATTGGGGTATTCTTTGGCAATAACCCTTAACGTTCTCAGTACATGTGTTCTTAAATTGCTATGTGTGTCAAAACAATCACCAATTATTTTTTATTATTTGGCATAGATTGGTGGTAAAAAGGTTGCATTAAAAGAGTCAGAATACCAAGTTTAATACCTTAGGTCGTCTTTTTTTAAAACATATATACATGTGAAGAGTTATATAGGGATTCCTGACAAATATCAGTGTTACAATGTAACTTGTGTTAATTTTGGAGAAATAAAAATGTTTTGGAAATAGCAAAGGGCTACTTGTACTTATAGCTGCAAAAAAAAAGCCAAGAACATGTTAATATTGGGTATTTCTAAACTCAGGATAAAATTTTAAAACTATTTACATGGGTGTTTTTTAGTGATTGTAGATATGTAACAGATTTGGGGGGTCAAAGTTAGAATAAGTGCGTTCTTTTAAAAAAAAAAAAAATCCCATCATATTTTATAATTGTTTTTATAGTAAATTATAAGATATGATTAAAATATTGGTATCTTTAGAAAGACCATTTAATGGTGAAAAAAGGTGTATAATATGTGTGCATACAGTAAATGAGTAAGATAGAAACATAGAATGTGACGGCAGATAAGAACCATTCGGCCCATCTAGTCTGCCCAATTTTCTAAAAACTTTCATTAGTCCCTAGTCTTATCTTATGGTTAGGATAGCCTTATGCCTATCCCATGCATGCTTAAACTCCTTTACTGTGTTAACCTCTACCACTTCAGCTGGAAGGCTATTCCATGCATCCACTACCCTCTCAGTAAAGTAATACTTCCTGATATTATTTTTAAACCTTTGTCCCTCTAATTTAAGACTATGTCCTCTTGTTGTGGTAGTTTTTCTTCTTTTAAATATAGTCTCCTCCTTTACTGTGTTGATTCCCTTTATATATTTAAATGTTTCTATCATATCCCCCCTGTCTCGTCTTTCCTCCAAGCTATACATGTTAAGATCCTTTAACCTTTCCTGGTAAGTTTTATCCCGCAATCCATGAACCAGTTTAGTAGCCCTTCTCTGAACCCTCTCTAAGGTATCAATATCCTTCTGAAGATACGGTCTCCAGTACTGTGTACAATACTCCAAGTGAGGTCTGTACAATGGCATGAGCACTTCCCTCTTTCTACTGCTAATACCTCTCCCTATACAACCAAGCATTCTGCTAGCATTTCCTGCTGCTCTATTACATTGTCTGCCTACCTTTAAGTCATCAGAAATAATCACCCCTAAATCCCTTTCCTCATATGTTGAGGTTAGGACTCTATCAAATATTCTGTACTCTGCCCTTGGGTTTTTACGTCCAAGATGCATTATCTTGCACTTATCCACATTAAATGTCAGTTGCCACAATTCTGACCATTTTTCTAGTTTACCTAAATCATTTGTCATTTGGCTTATCCCTCCTGGAACATCAACCCTGTTACATATCTTAGTATCATCAGCAAAAAGACATACCTTACCATCAAGACCTTCTGCAATATCACTAATAAAAATATTAAAGAGAATGGGTCCAAGTACAGATCCCTGAGGTACCCCACTGGTGACAAGTCCAAGCTTCGAATATATTCCATTAACTACAACCCTCTGTTGCCTGTCACTCAGCCACTGCCTTACCCATTCAACAATATTTGAATCCAAACTTAAAGATTGCAGTTTATTGATAAGCCTTCTATGTGCAACAGTGTCAAAAGCCTTACTGAAATCTAGGTAAGCAATGTCTACTGCACCACCCTGATCTATAATTTTAGTTACCCAATCAAAAAAATCAATAAGATTAGTTTGGCATGATCTCCCTGAAGTAAACCCATGTTGTCTCTGATCTTGAAATCCATGTGTTTTTAGATGTTCATCAATCCTATCCTTTAACATGGTTTCCATCACTTTCCCCACTACTGAAGTAAGGCTTACTGGCCTATAGTTGCCCGACTCCTCCCTATTACCTTTCTTGTAAATGGGCACAACATTCGCTAACTTCCAATCTTCTGGGACTACACCTGTTAACAATGATTGGTTAAATAAATCTGTTAATGGTTTTGCTAGTACACCACTAAGCTCTTTTAATAGCTTTGGGTGTATTCCATCAGGTCCCATTGACTTATTTGTCTTTACTTTTGACAGTTGAGATAGAACCTCTTCCTCTGTAAACTCACGTGTAATAAATGAC